CTTTAACTGCTTTTATGTATAAAGCTACATATCTGCCGACTGTAGTTTACAAAAGCATTGTTGAATTTGAGCTAAGAATAAGTCAAAGTTTAAGCGGGCTATACTTGAATCAGCTTGTCCGTCCGGGCGTCGGGCGTTCGTCGGTTTTTTTCTTGTCCGCCCAAAAACTTAAGAATCCTTTGACCCACAGTCTTCACCGAGTCCAATCGTTCACTATATTTCCCAGGCGGAGCACGCATGAAGAGATCAATTTTACAGGTGGAAAACCGATACTGTAGTAAGAAAATTGTCTTCAATTTCTTTGAAAATGCATATTTCACAAAACTTTATAGCCTATTCTGATCTCGTATGATTACTTTATCCGACAGGCATCTCAAACTCGCCAAATCTTTGTTAACTTATTAGGTCATTATCGACAACTGCACAAGAAAAGTCACAAAATTGGTAAAATCGCTCTTTGATAGCCAATAACTTGACATCCAAGCAAACTTCTAAACATTTGTATATTTATACAGCGTACAAAGTATATTTTAATTTATAAAAGATGTGCCTCTCACTTATTTGGAATAAAATTTGAAATTTTTGAGGTTTGAATATGTTAAATTTGTTAGATAATTAGTAAAAACTGAAGTTTTAAAAATACCACCTGCTCATGCGTTCACTTTGCAAACTTATGAAACCACATGAAAAGTTCGGCTCATGCGTTCATTTTGAAAATTCGCTTAAACGATATTATACTCCAAAAATACGGAATAGAAATAGAACAGGCTTTTGGTGGATGAGGATATGTTAATAAAGAACCTTTAGAGCGATACAAATGTTTAGAAGTTTGCTTGGATGTCAAAGTATTGGCTATCAAAGAGCGATTTTACCAATTTTGTGACTTTTCTTGTGCAGTTGTCGATAATGATCTAATAAGTTAACAAAGATTTGGCGAGTTTGAGATGCCTGTCGGATAAAGTAATCATACGAGATCAGAATAGGCTATAAAGTTTTGTGAAATATGCATTTTCAAAGAAATTGAAGACAATTTTCTTACCACAGTATCGGTTTTCCACCTGTAAAATTGATCTCTTCATGCGTTCTCCGCCTGGGAAACATAGTGAACGATTGGATTCGGTGGTCTTCATATTTAGCATTGAGGTTAGTCATGATTAGTAGATAACCCCTATTGATTTTGAGGTCACCGGGTCAAAGGTCAAGGTCAATGGGGCCTTGATTTCAAAAAGCTTGACCGCCCAATAACTTAAGAACCCTTTGACCGACAGTCTTAATATTTGGCAAGGACTTTAGTCATGATAAGTAGATGACCCTTATTGATTTTGAGGTCACCAGGTCAAAGGTCAAGGTCACAGGGGCCTTGACTTTAAAAAGCTTGTCCGCCCAATAACTTAAAAAACCTTTGACCCACAGTCTTCATATTTGTCATGGAGGTTAGTCACGATAAGTAAATGACATCTATTGATTTTGAGGTCACCAGGTCAAAGGTCAAGGTCACAGGGGCTTTGACTTCAAAAAGTTTGTCCGCCCAATAACTTAAGAATCCTATGACCCACAGTCTTCATATTTGGCATGGAGGTTAGTCATGATTTGTAGATGACCCCTATTGATTTTGAGGTCACCAGGTCAAAGGTCACAGGGGCCTGACTTCAAAAAGCATGTCCGCCCAATAACTTAAAAAACTTTTGACCCACAGTCTTCATATTTGGCATGGAGGTTAGTCACGATAAGTAAATGACATCTATTGATTTTGAGGTCACCAGGTCAAAGGTCAAGGTCACAGGGGCTTTGACTTCAAAAAGTTTGTCCACCCAATAACTTAAGAATCCTATGACCCACAGTCTTCATATTTGGCATGGAGGTTAGTCATGATTTGTAGATGACCCCTATTGATTTTGAGGTCACCAGGTCAAAGATCACAGGGGCCTGACTTCAAAAAGCATGTCCGCCCAATAACTTAAGAATCCTTTGACCCACAGTCTTCATATTTGGCATGGAGATTAGTGACGATTAGTAGATGAATCCTTTTGATTTTGAGGTCACCGGGTCAAAGGTCAAGGTCACAGGGGCCTTGACTTCAAAACTTTTGTCCGCCCAATAACTTAAGAATCCTTTGACCCACAGTCTTCATATTTGGCATGGAGGTTTATCATGACCATTAGGTGACCCCTATTGATTTTGAAGTCACTGGGTCAAAGGTCAAGGTCACAGAGTCCTTCACTAAAAAGCTTAACCGCTCAATTACTTAAGAAGGCTTTGGTCAACATTCTTCATATTTGGTATTGAGGTTGTTTATGACTAGAAGATGACCCCTATTGATTTTTAGGTGACTTTGTCAAAGGTCAAGGTCGTCACAGGGATTTAACAATAATAAGCTTGTCTGCTCAAATTCTTGTAATGCCTGTCCGCAGTGTATTGATTTTGACATTTTCACATTTGAAGCATATAGAATACATAACTTAGCAATGCACTGGCTCAGTAACCTCAGATTTTGCAGGGAGGTTAACTTTGAGCTCTCAATGGTCACTGTTGATTCTGACAAAGTGGCAGTTCTAGTTTAAAAAGAAATGTTTTTTGTATATTACCTTAGGAGTGAATGACGCATAGTCATTGGTTAAACAGTTCTTAAAATAACAGCATGGTATGTTGTTCCTGAACATGTTACATTTTCCGTGGAACATTCTCTGTGACAGGTCTTATCGACCATACGATTATGGAAACAAAAATTATGGTTAAAAAATTCATAACATATTTTTATTAGACTAAGCTTTATACCCTTAAAGTCACTCCTAGGGTCGTTACAAATGTTGCACTTTCCATTATCTTTCATTAATAGATGCAATCAAATCGAGTCTATATTTTTCACTCATTGCTATTGGGGGATCTCCCTTTTCCCATGGTTTGAGACACGAATGAATTGTATAGTAAGAACGGTTGAAAGTCAAACGATAAGGATCAAAATTGTCATCAGAGATTCCACTCATGAAGTCATAACGTCAGTTGAAGCTGGAAGGACGAAGCCTGCATATCTTTGTATACCATGTTATGGCAGACATGTCTTGATCAAAACCATCACGAAACGAGATAATCAGTACTTTGTGAAGACTGCTGAGAGACAGCAAATAAATATGTTTTAGATATTAGATGACACTACGAGGGTTGTCCCAAAAGTCCGTGACAAATTTTATAGCCGGTTCATTTTTAACGCCAATAGAAAATAATTTACACATATAACCGTTAAGTTTATTATTTAACATTACAACAAATCATTTACAAAAAATTTACCCTAGTTACTTTGAAATTTTTAGTATTAACGACATTGGTTTGAGTTGCCGGCGCACGTCAAATAATTTACATTTTGTTATGAATAGGCTGAAATTAATTACGTATATTTCAAATACCTGATGATGTGTCTGCACAATGTCACGTTGACTTCCTCTGCTGCTATGTTTAAATCATCTCTGAAAATTTTAGTTAAATAACTTAAAAAACGAAAAAGATGCGAATAAATGAAAATATCTCATATAAAATAGGAAAGTTAAAATGGCGACGTTCGAAGAATTTACGGCGCAGTGAACATGTCACTCAGGTTTCATGACTATTTCGAGATGACACATGTAACGATTTTCAACAAATATACCAAATATAACAGTTTAGCAACATATTCTGAGCATTTGTGTACAAAAGGCATGAACGGAACCAGAGTTTTGCGCTACAAAAAGCGAAAATAAGGAAAACACAGATAGGCAGACCGATCTTCGTCGCCTATATCCTACAGATAAAAACAGGAGTAACGAGACCGGAAGTTTGCGTATAGCAAAAATTAATGTATGCCATCCAAACATTCAACAGACATTAACAACCACATGATTTAAGTCAGAAATTGACGATTTATGGGTACCATTATTGCGTTGAAAGCCATTGAGAGTATTTGAGAAAGGCGCCTTATATAGATTTAACGCCGTCTTTGACGTTGGACGTGCGCCGCGATTCAGTTAGTTGCCATGGTGTTTATGGAAATTTTTGTTGTTTGTTGATATTTATCTATGAAAATTTGTGAAAATGTTTAAATTATATGGGTTTATAACATATTAAAATATCAAATTCGTACCTGTTTTATTTAGCTTTTAATCAGTCTTGTCACAGAATATTGGGACAACCCTCGTATTTTAGCTAAGAATGGCAATGTCATGACTTTTCAAAAATATATACATGTATTTCGGACTGAAACTATGAAGTAACAATGTTTAATTCAATATGTATGTACGTTGAGGTTTCATATTAGAAATCATTCTGTCAAAATCAAGATCGGTTAGAGATACTTAGTTCGAAACGCTAACTTTTAGCCCTTGTTTGTACAATTCGAGTGATTCGTTTGAGGTAAACACATTATTTTTATTGGATACCAATGGAATGGTATGATTAAATATGAGGATATAACAAAAATCTAAATTTTATCACCTGTGTATGAAGCAAATGCTTAGGGACGTGGAAGCTTATTTGCATCAATTTTATCACTGCCGCCCATATACAGAGTTAATAAAATCGAACCTATATGGGTTTCAATTTTTTTGGTGTTCAACGACGTTTTTACACTTTGCTGGTTTTAAGCTCGATTGCGAAACAAGTACTTGCAACTTATATTAAAGACCTGCGACTCCACTTCCTGGGGCCAACCAGTAGGGAAACATGGTCGTGACCCCATTATAAAACACTATTCCTGGGTTGAGAGGCAAACGTGTACCTTAACCACTTACTAGGTCACCGCTCCCCCTTCAGATTTTACTACTTCACATGCAGACCGTTTTTAATATTCCAGTTTCTTATACTCAATTTGAAACATTTTAGAATCTTAGAACAATCGTAATTATTTTTTTTAACATATCTTCATTTCGACTAGTCTTATCAACTACATGTACATATCTCTTTGTTCTGTGAACCGCCAAAGGTCAAAAGGTCAGAATTTATGATATCTAGATATGTTAACGTGTTGCTCAGTCTAACTAAAAATCGTGACCTTTGATTAAAGATAAGATTAAGAGGTCTGAAAATAAGGCAAAATTTCTCAAGATGTTGAAACTTGTGGTAGTATTTGCAATTTATTGTGTTGCAACAAGTTTTGCGGTGACTTTGACTCGCTACACTGACTGCGGTATGTACGAATTTTGGTAAAAATATCAAACTGTCAATGAATTATCAAAAATACAAACATATTTAATTGATAATTTCACCACTACGATTCGGTTTTCCTATTTTTTGTTTGCTGAGACAACGTTGATGAAACAAAAGAGAGAGAAATAATAGAAAATACGACGAATAAGAGGATAAATAGGTTCTCATTTATATAATATCAAATCTTTTTACTTAAAAAGGCAAACAATATATTTTTGCGGGGAAGCGTTTATTTTGACATTTTCTTCATTTCCGATCCGTATGTCCATAATCAGGGTCAAAGGCAGATATCCATTCCATAGTGTTGGAACCATGCAACAGCGAGCCCTGTATAATACACCAGTTACAGAATTATACAACGCATATCAGGTTTACACCCAGTAAGTACCCGTTTACGACGATGCGATTGTTTGAACAAATTTATTCATGTTCAATTATAAAAGTTTAAATCATTTTCAATTGACTGAATGCGCTGTCCGGAAAAACAAACCAGCAAGTAGTGTCAAAAGATATACCATGGTCGTGTCCCTGAGTAGGACTCGAACCCACGAGCGCATGAACCACAATGATGATGTGTTGAAACGTGGTGTGGCGTGGCGTGACGTGAAGTAATTTAATTTCTTGGCTAAATTAAGCGCAAGTATAAAACAGGAATCCTTTGATGTGATTCTGCTTTACTAAAAAAAAAATATAATTGCCTTTATTTAATATTCTGTAAGTAGCTGTCCATTTTCTATCAAATAACTTTCTTTATTTACAAAAATTATAATTGCGAGTAGGAAACTATGCAGTTTTATATTTATTGACATTGATACCGTCCGATGATAATAATATGATTTTTGATGATGATGATGATGATGATGATTTTGAGGATGATGGACGTGATGATGAGTTTAATGCTGATGATATTGATGAAGGTGAGGATTATTATGACGTTGATGATGATGCAAGTTAATATTTTCTAAGTGACGACGTTGTTTTTACTTTTTTTTCACTTTTTAAGTCGATGCGTGTTGATCCGTGAATTTTATTCGTTTGTACTTAACGAAATTCGTCGAAGCGAGGCGGCATCACTTTTTAAGTCGATGTGTGTTGGTCCGGGAATTTTATACGTTTGTACTTCACGAGAGCAGCATGCGTTACAGTACAGCGAATAAAGATCACCAGAGCGTTATATTCATCAACAGATATATGCGGCGTAACAGTGCTACCGTCAATTGAATCTATACGGATTTCCTGCGCTCGACCAGGAGTAACTAAAATTACTTTTATTCTATTTGCTTTTTACAAATACCGTTATTTTTTACCAGAGGTTACCCATCAGAATGCTAATAACTTTGCAACGGGTATAATAGCTGGAGTGCCAACACCATTCGCAGTGTCACCGAAAAATGCCTGTGGTAATGGCTTGACATGTCCTATACAGGCTGGCCTACAACAAACATACACAGCCACCGTTCAGTGCCCTATTACCACACCGGTAAGTATATAACTATATATTCCGTACATATAAATTAATAAATGTTTATCACAAAAGATAGGTAACAATAAGTAGATGCAAATGTCAATAAGGAAAATAATGATATGGGCAATGCAATGCATTATAATTTGCATATATTCCAAGGTCGCAATTCGCGTTTTCTATAGGAATCGCTTTCGTACGAAGAAGTTTATCAAATGATTGAACAATACTTGCACCAATAGTCTCTTTATAAATAGTTAGTCTGTGAAAAATATGAATAAAGATAAATAAAGAATGCACTGAATCGTTTATAAATGCTGAAAATTTTATATATATTTAGAACACCGGTATATTATACGCCGGTATGTTATAAACCATTGCGATGACCAATTTATCATTGCAGTGTGAAGTTGTTTAAAGCCAAAATTTAAATAAATTATAGAAAAAAATTAAACAAATGGAATATCAATTAAAGGAAAAAAAAAATTAGAACGTTAACAAAGATTGAAATACAATATTTGAGAAACGGCTTTCTTCTTCGGATAATGTTCTTGTTATAGACAGTCAATAAGACACGATCGCACAAAAAGTCGAAAAGTGAAGCTTTGACAGTAGAGGAAGGCCCCGATGCCCAGCTGTTGTATGATTAAAGGTACAGCGCAGGCTGGCTATTATGAAATCATCCTAATACCCAGACATTTTATTAAGAATTCAAAGTACTATGGTGGCTGATTTGTTACACTTTTGCGCGTTGCGATTTCGCTAGCAACAACACAACAAAAATCGATATCGCCTTTTCGTCTTGTCGCTGCGAAACCATTTCTCCATGTCGCCCTGTCGCAGGGCGCGTTGTCGCAAGCATCAGACGCCAATAAGCTAATTCTTCTGTTTGGCGTGTTTTGCTTGCGACAGGACGACAAGATTACAAAGCGGTAAGGCGCCGATTGGCATTTTGTCGTGTTGTCGTCAGCTTAACAGTGTAATATATCAGCCATGCTGCTAACAGTAACCGAACTCGATATCAAAACTCTATAGACCAATTGTACGATTTTTAAATAAAACTGAATGAAATTCCCTCACTCTGATAAATCAATATTAATACACTTTTCGTGATTATATAAGTGAACAGGAGACAGAATATTTTCCACTTGAAGTCAAATGTACAATTCTTAAAGTACATTTGCTTTTAATGATAATATTTACCATACAAAGAAAGAAAATGTTTATATAATTGGTTATTCACATGAATTGAATATATTTGTATTTAAATATCTGAAGGCAACACTTAGATCTTTTCTTTTCGTTACTGATAAAATAACCATTAAAACATTTTGCATGCTCATATTAATTTTATACACCAGAAAATTATACACTATAGTCGTATAACATTTAAATCTAATGACAGGTAGATAAATACGTTTAAGACGTGCGCAAAAATGCACATGGCCACAAAATACATTGAATGTTAACAGTGACTATGTTCAAGACATAGATAACTCATTCATATGTTATTGTCTCCCTTGTTATAACACGTATCTGTAGGCGGGAGTTTTAATTTCCACACATTGGGTATTTATTACGATTGTACTTAACACAGAAGTTATTGATGACATGCCTAGAGCTTTACCTGTCTTCAGCTTAACATTAAGACAGTCTGACCAGGCTCTATAAGTACTACAATTGACTACTCATAAAATAGTTCGATAACAAGAATCACTTCAGTTAACCATGAGCGCTCCACTGTCAACGCCAAAGTTTATTATGCATCACAGTAATTTTTTGAATTTCATTCTACTTTAGATAGTGTGAAAGACATACTAGTTTCACCTCTATTATGCCGAAACTTGGAGAGTCAAGCCTATGGATCCAGTTGAGAGCCAGGTCTGCTCAAATGTGCAGTATGGTCGATCAGACTGTATGCTGTTTGTAGCTTATTTCTTTGTTATTTGATAACATGGTCGGCAGGGGCCTGCAGAGCATAATTTGAATTCAGAAGGAAAAGGGTTCAATTGCATTAATGAGCTTGATTTTTACTATTTATTGTAGCTACGAATTGCTGCCAAGTGGGAGGTCAAAGACGAGAATAACGAGGACATCATTTGTTTTGTATTTCCGACTACAATTGTAAAACACTGATCAATAAATTGTGTATAATACCTAGGTCATTTTGTAATTTCTAACACCCACGCCGTACCAACTGTTCACACGACATTGCACAAGTATGTACATTTTTCCATTTTGTTTATTTTACTTGAGATTTGCAGATGTGTTGCAGTTACCAAGCTTTTCGCTCTAATTGGCCATTCCTCAAGTATGAGAAACAAATGCTTCAACTTTTCTAAGACTATGTGTAAAACAAGCCACTGAAGTACAGGACATACATTGTTAATTGATTCATAGTATTTCGTTTCAAAAATTATATATAGACGATATTTCCATAGAAACAGAAGTAGCATTTCCCGCATGCGCATTTTTTTACCGGACACGATTTTGCTGTGACCTTGACCTTCAAGGTAGCGACCCAAATGCTGTTGTTTCAATATTGTAAAATCCGACTTCAAATAACGAGTTATTGGCCGGACAAGATTTACTTCAAGGTCATGCTGTGACCTTAACCTTCAAGGTAGCGACCCAAATGTTGTTTTCGACACGTTGTCCCCATATGGTGATCATTTCTGTGAAAAAGTTGTACAATCCGACTTCAGAAGTTATGGGCCGCACACGATTTTGCTGCAACCTTGACATTCAAGTTAGTGACCCAAATGCTGTGCGCGACACGTCGTCTCATTATGGTGACTATTTATGTGAAAAAGTTGTAAAATCCGACTTCAAATAAGGAAGTTATGGGCCGGACAAGATTTTGCTGCAAGGTCATGCTGTGACATTGACCTTCAAGGTAGCGACCCAAATGATCTTTGTGATACGTCATCTCAATATGGTGGTCATTTCTGTGAAATAGTTGTAAAATCTGACTTCAAATAACGAAGAAATTGGCCAGACACGATTTTGCTGGTCATGCTGTGACCTTGACCTTCAAGGTAGTGACCCAAATGTTGCGCGCGATACGTCGTCTCAATATGGTTATTATTCATATGACATCGTTGTAAAATCCGACTACAAATAAGGAAGTTATGGGCCGGACAAGATTTTGCTGCAAGGTCATGCTGTGACCTTCAAGGTAACGACCCAAATATTGTTTGCGACACGTCGTCTCAATATGGTGATCTTTACTGTGAAATAGTTGTAAAATCGGACTTTAAATAACGAAGTTATGGGCCTTCAAGGTAGTGACACGTCGACACGTCGTCGCAATATGGTAATCATTTCTGTGAAATAGTTGTAAAATCCGGCATCAAATAACAAAGTTATGGGCCGGACACGATTTTGCTACAATGTCATGCTGTGACCTTCACCTTAAAGGTAGCGACCCAAATGTTGCGTGCGACACGTCGTCTCAATATGGTGATCATTTTGTGAAATACATGTAGTTGTATAATCCGACGTTAAATAACCAAGTTATGGGCCGGACACGATTTTGCTACAAGTTCATGCTGAGACATTGACCTTCAATGTAGCGACCCAATTGTTGATCATTACTATGAAATAGTTGTAAAATCAATCCGACTTCAAATAACAAAGTTATTGGCCGGACACGAATTAAGGACGTACGTACGTACGAACGGACTGACTGACGGACGGACAACCCGGCGACTATATCCTCACCCGATTTTTTTCGGGGAGCATAAAAATTGAGCTGCCAACAGTTTAGAGCCTGGTAAAACTGCAGGCGGTCCTGACTCTATACTTTTGTCGCAAAGCTAATCGCTTTTAGTTCCAGCAAGTCAAAGGTTATGCAGATCGTCATGGAAGAAGACTCGTTTTTTAGCCACGAGACTTAAGCTCGCAGATCCAGATTCGGTTTAACACTTTCCTTAGTCCTTAAGTACTGAGTTTGATTGGGATAACAGAAAAAATCAATGATTGAAATATAAAATTTTACAGATCCATAAATGAATTAAACAAAAAGGCTCTTTTTCGTGAAACCATGCGCGCCTTTGACACAATTTAATTTATTTCAACGTAATATTGAAGATGATTTAACCAATGTTAATTTCGTTTAAAGTAATTGATCATGCTCCGAAATATTTTTACATTTGATTTTTTAACAAAAACATTCCTTGAATATAATAAGAATTATACGAAATCTCAATATGTAGTTGATTAGAAGGGAGACAACCCTGTTATTATATTATGTTCATATTTTATAGTTAGTCCTCTCCCTTTACAAGTCATCTGAAAGGTTATGTTTTTAAATTTTTGTTTTGAATTTACTTCATTTATTAAGTTTAGTTCATAAACTTATAAAAAACATTCTTTGAATATAAAACACACTATGGATAAAAAATGAAAAATAGAACAGCTCAAATACAGATTTGAATCTTTTATTCAAATGACACTGAAATTCTTAAATGTTAAATACGTTAATAAAGGTCCAGCATATGGTAGTTCTTATACATTAGATAGTCCATTCAAACTGCGCAGACTCGACAAACTGCGTAACTCTCAATAACATATATCTTTTGCGTAAATAACGAGTTGACAAACAGTTTTTGCTCCTTGTATTTACGCTTTTTCTGTTTTTAAAAAGTTTCAAAAGTTGCTAGGAGAAAGATGCGATGTTTGCTACATGCGATGTTTGCTATACCGGAAGGTTTCGATGTTTGCCGGAAAGTTGCGATGTTTGCCGGAAAGTTGCGAAGTTTGCCGGAAAGTTGCGAAGTTTGTCGGAAAGATGCGAAGTTTGCCAAAAAGTTTTCTCCAATATGTTGACTCTCGTAACAAAAATTACACATGTATGTGTATAAGCTCTGGAGATCCGGTGCCTTTCTGATATGGATCATACACATTTACGTTGACATGAATCCAGTATAAAAAGTCTGCAAGAATATAAAAATCAAAATGAGATTATCATACTTTTACATGGAAAAACTGTAATATAAAACATAAAATACAACATTGTGAATTCACTAGAATGATGATACAGATCTGTAGCATTTAACGTTTACAAAAATAACTATTTAAATTTGCTTGAATAAGATTATATATTACATATTCACGCCTTGTCAAAATATATATTGAAAAAAACAACATTTATATGCTGTCATATTTTGTTACTTAACATTATTATCTTTTCCAAATACATTAAAAACGGACCTCAATAATAACTTTACTGTCATGTTGATATACCAATAATCATCTAGGAAACTTGTGTTACATATGCATTGAATTTATTTCTTATTTTATGTAACTTCCAAATACGATTGACTGTCTTTTCAGTATAGGAATTAAATGACTGTACATGTAGTTGAGAATAAAAAGAGTGTGTGAAAAATATCTTACCAAAACTAACACACTTCCCAGCCACAGCCGTACTGTCATGCCGACATACACATCTATTCGTAGCCCAGTCACATATCGAGTACTTGTTAAAACATTTACCATGCGAGCAGTACCCACCGTCATAGCCATCTGAAATGGGTCAACACAGAATCGTACAAGTTTGACTTATGATCCTTACACATGATCGTATATTATATGTCTAACACATGATCGTATATTCTCGGTTTGATACATGATCAAATATTCTAGGTCTGACACATGGTCTTAAATTAACTCTTTAGCACGAAAACTCAATTAGAAGATAGGATTGTGGGCCAATCTCAAAATGTTAGTATATGGAAAAACCAATACAAGAGTCTGACCCCTTATGGAAGGCCAGTTATTTTAAAGACCGTTTGTGCACGAAATAATGCACAGAGACGTACCTGAAGCTTTTTAAACCTGTAAAGATGGAAAGTATTCAAAAAGGGTATGTTTGACTTAAATCCAAACACAAAATAACAGAAAAAAAATATGTATCACCTGCCACACAGTTGTCTCCCATTTTCACGGACCCAATATTACACGTGCATTTATTGGACGAGCATGATGCTAGTATATCATAAGGACAATAACCAATATCTGTACACTCTGTCCCGGCCTTTCCAGCTGCAAATAAAGATATAAGCTTGATTGAATTATATTCATATACAGGCAAACCTCATTATTACACCTACAAAATAAAATACAAACAAAATATTAAACGGCTCCCATACGATTTGCTTTCAAATCCAGCATCCGTGAGCAAACATTAAGCTTCCAACCCTCAAACTCTGAGGAAATAATTGATTAACACAAGGAGGCATTTCTTGAAATGATGCAACATCTCAAAACAAATAGATTCAGGGACATGATAATCTTAAGCAGTAGCAATAACATATACGAGTAAATAATAATTTCGTTCATGTGTATGTTTCAAATATGTTTTTATAAATTACGAATTCAATTCAAGCACCTGATTATGATTATTAATTACATGTAATTCATTTAGCCAACAAACTTACTTTCAACGCACGAGCCTTCCACCTTTTTAGTGCCGGGTTTACAAACGCAGTATCCATCCATACATTCGGCGTTTGTATCTCTAGTGCATAAGTCCTTGTACTGTCCATTACATTTACCGCCAACAACGCCATCTATATTGTAGAGAAATATTTAAGTATAACCTCAACGTCATGCAACTGATAAACCAACGTAATTCATCCCTTTTTTTCAAACCACTGTACGGTTGTAACGTCTTTTTTCATTGGACAATTACGTATAATCTCTAAACTGTTCATATAAGACAATATATCTAGCAAAAAATATTTTATAACCAACGATAAAACACGTATTTGTATAAAATTGTCAAGAGAGATAACTATTGCCATATTTGATAATAAACAAATGCTTCCTTCTTAACATTACAAAATTGTTTATTTATAAATCATTTATGGAAAATGTACCCATTGTAGACCAATCCACTATAAATAGTCTTCCCTTTGTATTAGCTTAATTAAAAAAAAACAACTTATAGCCACACCTGTTTGGAATTGTTGAATAAAAATAGAATGCCATGCTTACCTAATACACACATCGCTTCAATTGGCCTAGCTCCCTCTATACATTGACATATACCAAAAAGTTCACCTTGCTTACATTCAGCATACTGGTCCCGTGTACACATGAAGCCGTCACCATCGCACCTGCCCCCGACGGCACCGTCTAAAATGAGAAGGTAAAACCATTAATCACCTTTGTTTCTTTACAAATTGGATGAATCAAATAAGCACAAATGCTAAACCCATGCATAGTTAGAATGCAATGAATAAATGTAATGAATGCATGAAATGACAAATTGCATATCTTTCAGTACAAGCACTTGCTTAGCTCACTATAAACGCTATTTTGTACGGAGAGCGGGAGCCTTCAATCAAAATATTGGATTAAGAGGCATATAATTTGCAGTCCAAAAAGGCGTGGTATACATGCTCGCATTTTCAAAAGTTGTTTTCAAAAGGAATGCTATTTTGGTAACGAACGCCCTCCATAGTATTCACGTCCTAGACAGGCACATGTATACAAATGAGCCGCGTCACGACAAAACCAACATAATGGGTTTGCGACCAGCATGGATCCAGACCAGCCTGCGTATCCGCGCAGTCTGATCAGGTTCCATGCTGTTCGCTATCAGTTTCTCTACTTGTAATAGACTTGGTAAGCGAACAGCATGGACCCTGATCAGACTGCGCGGATGCGCAGGCTGGTCTGGATCCATGCTGGTCGCAAACCCATTATGTTGGTTTTGTCGTGACACGGCTCAAATGGTCTAGTTGGAAAGTCCTCGTGTAAGTTTATGGTTATTGATTATATAAAGAATCGGTGGTCTCTATGGTCTAAAATATTCACGTTTCTTTTTCTTTTTCTTTTTTTGCCTATTGAAGGACACCTTAGGTCTCAGGACTATGCTGTGTCAATGAGAAATAAAAGTAAGCGAACATGCAAAAGTAAATACTATTTTACAGTATGTTGATGAAACCACAGGAACCTGAAATTCTATCAAATAACCATTATTAACGATAATGTCCAAAAATACCCTCCATATAGTATAACACTTTGGGGCATTTTTGGATATTATCGTTTATATTGGTTATTTGATGCATTTCAAGTTCCTGTGCAGAAATACACATTCTACCTTGTTTTAAAGTAAATCGAGTATATAAGGGTTTACTACTTATTTTCACAACTTACAGTGTTTCTTGTTTTAAACTAAAATCATGTGCATGTGTTTATGTGGAGAAATATTATTATTATCATCATCAACATCATCATTAATATCAGCATCATCATCATCATCATCATCAGCAGCAGCAGCAGCAGTAGTAGTATAGTCTTTAGTATCATTATTATTATCATTTCGCCAGACGCTGTATGAGCCACGTTGATTTATTCGACAAATTGTATTCTTATTATCGCTTTCACTTAAGATACTTTATAAATTTAACAAGATTAATAATTTTTATGAGAGGACTATTTTTTTTCACAGATAATATCTAGATCTATTATCTTGTTTAATGATCTTAAATAAAATAACATAATATCACACAATGATTTATGTATATTTATATAGATATTTATAAGTATTCAAGCGTAACAATGAATAATGAAATTACATATATTGAGCCTTCATATACATGTATATATAAACATGACCACAGCTAACGGAAGATATACAAGGAAATAGAATGAAATAATCATCTATTACTACTATTTCGGTAAATTAACCACAAGTTGAGTTAATTTAAGTGTCTAGATATAGTATAATAAAAAGTTTTATTTTTAAGCAGTATTAATTTTGTAAACTTGTAAATTTTTTGAAAACTGTATTGATATATAGCAGTACAGTTTTTTCATTGATTCATATAGGAAAAAAAACCTCGACTGCTATATAGCGGTTGAGTCTTTTTTCGCACCTTGTATATATCAAATTTAGTTCTTTTCAAAGAGGCAGTGGTAACGAACATTCCCAGTAGAAAAAAAATGGAATCAATAAAATAAAATAAATACAATGAAAAATAAACTAAGATAATTAATGAAATGAAATTTACTCTCATTTAATCAAAAGGTACATCCGATGAATGAATTATTTCCACTGAAAAAAGCCCTTGAATCAATATTGGTAACAGTTAACAATCCGCCTCTAACATTGGATGTCTTTCGTATATTTTTTTTTTTGCGGCAGCGAAAACAACTTGAAAAAACTGCCTTATCATAAATAACTGTAAAGTAGCTTACGATTTATTTATTTCTATCATTATGCAATTGCGATAAAACAGTTATACTATATGAAACTCGTTAGTTACGAGTTATTTCGGGATGTTTCTGAAAAACATCCCTTGATGTCACCCCAGCCAGTGTTATATCCTCGTACTTAACTCGTTTCATATACTATAACTATTACAAAAAGAATGACTATCAAGTAATATTAAAATAACATTACGTTTTAGTTTCAAATATATAAAATCACATGTCAAGTATTTTATTCGACATTATATTGTGCAAGTATAACATGTTTGTATCATAGTTTGGGGACCTTTCTGTTGAAATTTTGAGTTAAATCGTATACATATACAGGCACAGTGCGTTAACTGGAGTACAGGTATTAGTTACCCGCACTCCAGAGCATGCCCATTGATTGGCTCACTTTGCTGGGGTTTACTTATTGTGAAGACAGAGAAAGCGAAAACGACAGAAATTTCATATTCAGATGCTCGTTCATTGGTTACTTTTTTCTGGGGTTTCATATTGTGACAACAGGGAACGTGTTTTTATGTTTGACTATGATACAAAAGAGAAATAATAATAATAATAATAATAATAATAATAATAATAATAATAAAGACTTTATTTAACGAGAGAACTCATTTGAACAAACATATCAATCTTCCATGAGGCCCTCAACAAGGAACAATATAAATTTAACATTTTCAAACTATTAAAATACATAAATGTAAAAACATACAGGAGATTATCAATTTGTATACATCAATGCGTGATAAAACCTCAAGTATAAGGTTTTAAAATGGTTAACAGATGTAGCAGACTTAATATAATCAGGAAGGCCGTTCCAAATACAAGATCCAGAATAAACAAAAGACTTACGAAATTGTTCAGTATTTGGTCTAGGGGTATAAAGTTGAAAATCAGATGATGAACGCAAAATGCGAGTATGAACATCTGACGATAAATTTGAAATTATTCAATAAATAGGAAGGCGCCTGATTATTTATTATTTTAAACATCATAATAGCTTTTTGAAAAACAACCCTCTGTGAAAAGGTCATCCAGCGGAGTTCAGAAAAAAGTTCAGCAGATGGAGTGTCATAATCTTTGTCTAGAATTAGTCTTGCAGCTCTCTTTTGGAACTTAATGAGTTTATCTTCTAGAAAAGACGTACAGTTACCATAAATTATGCAACAATAATCAAGATGTGGTAAAATATATGCATTGTAAAACATTTTACGTACAGGTATAGATATAAATAATTTTATACGTGATAATAAATGTAACAATGAGTTACACTTTTTAAGAACATTATCAATATGGCTTTGCCAAGACAAGGTGTTATTAATTGTAATACCCAATAATTTTTCTTCAGAGCTACAAAAAATTTGCTCTGTTTTATATAAAATACAAGGATTACTTTCATGAATATAATTTTGCTTGTGTTTTGAGGAAATATACATGACCTTAGTTTTGTTAACATTGATAGACATGCGATTCAAATCACACCATTTGTTGGCATTTAAAAGATCATGAGTAAGAGATTCAACTACTCTGTTTAGGGATACATCAGAGGTTGAAAGGGTGGTGTCATCAGCAAAAATATCAGTTTCTATTTTTTCCATAGACAAAGGCAGGTCATTGATATATATTAAAAACAGTATAGGACCTAGCACTGAGCCCTGAGGAACTCCAGTAGTTACTGAACTTGACTCTGAATATAAACCGGATATGTAAGTTTGTTGGGTTCTGCAATCTAAATAGGAGAAAAACCAAGCAACTGATGAAGGGTCTAGGTTATACATTCTAAGCTTTTCAATAATAATAGAGTGATCCACAAAGTCAAAAGCTTTAGAGAGATCAAGGAAAATTGAACCAACTATTTCATTTTTGTCAATAGCTGTAATCCAATCATCAATAATTCTAATCAATGCTGTTTGACATGAATGATTTGACCTGAATCCAGACTGACGTTGGTATAGAAGTTGATTTTTCTCAAGGTATTGCTTTAAATGTGAACTGACATGACGTTCAAGAATAAGTGATATCAAGGGAAGTATGGAAATTGGCCTATAATTTGAAAGAACATCAAAACACTCGGCAATCTGATCCCCCGTACAAATCAGATAGCCTCGTGTTTCTTTCTGCTCTTACTATTACATAGAATCTTAATTGAGATGTTATTTCATACAGCGTATACGGGAAGTCAAGACATTGCAAATCTAGCTTAACGCCACGCTACACTCAACTGTCATCTTAACCCTTATCTAAACTGATTCGTCCATCTTTTTTTATCTGGACACATTCAATATTTTTAGGGAAATTTGCAACAACAAAAATAAAGATGTACATACCATGATCTGACGGCTGATCTTGGACACGCACGTAAATTTAATGCTGCCAGTAATGCAAGCAAATGGTTAATTTTAATTTCAATTATTGTAAAATCAACAATTCACAGTTATTTCAAAACCCCTTCAATACACTGAGTTATCGAAACGAGGCATTTACCTCTCTGACTCCATCTCTTTATATAAGCAACTTTATTGTAAAGTACGAATGCTATAATAAATGCCATATTTTGCTGGACAGAAAGTTGAAGTACTCAGTGCCTAATTTGGTAATAAGCTATCTGCAAAAGCTTGTGTTATCACTCTCTTTAGGTATAGTAATAAAATTGTCCATACCTTGTAAGCACGAGCTTTCTATCTTTGTTGTACCAGGTTTACATACACAGAGCTCAATCCCATGCTCAGTAACACAAACGGCGTTCAAATCCCCGGGACATTCTCCAAATTCGCACATGCCGCCAGGAAGGCCCGCTGAAAAAAAAGAATAATGATAAATTCGTTTTTCACAGGTTTTGTACTCAGTTCATCTCCTGTAATCCCATCTGATCCACTTGTTATGAAATTTAATAATTCCATATCAAAATTGTGAAATTTACATTATTCATTTTATGTCCTATAATCTTTAATCTTATCTACACACTTTTTAATCCATTTTGAACAAACGAACCATTATTTCCAAGTTACTATAGCGACTCATAAGCCGTTGATATAGAAGTTATTACCATTACAGTCCATGAACAGGTTCAAAACAAATCGAGCCTGCAACATATTCAATTTTGCCGTTTTGGGCATCCTTTGGGGATTTTTTTCTACTTTATACAGGCTCAATTAAACAGGGCCAGGAACATTTTTAATTTTGCACTGTTGACTTTTCTATATAGTTTTATTTGTTTTTCTCTATTTTAAACAAGGTTTGGCCATGCATCTTTTCAATAGAAACATTCGAATACAATGTATTTAGGTATCTGAGACGGATTTGCAAATGTCGCTTTCAACACAAGGTGTTTACCTCAAGCACCTGTATTTCATAAATTATTTCCTTTTTTATCATATATTTTGTTGCTGTCTTTGCCCTAAACTTTTCGGTTCAGTGTTTGCAACGCTGAAACAAATACTGTCAAAGGAAAAGAAAATTAAGCGCATGACCATCACCATTCAAAATATGAAAAACATAATCAACAAGGAAGGGTGGCATTTAAAGAAAGCATCCCTTTACTCATAACCACCGGCAAGGAGGCTAGCACGACACCAAACAGAGCACGTTTTGTCATTAAAAGACAGAAATCATTAAAACCTACAAAATAATTGAAGATGAAAATTAATAAATGAAAATGAAATAAAAGACCGTCAAAAGGATAAGGGTGAAGGGGATCAAAAAATAAAACTTAAAAAAAATCTAAGGGAAAGGGGGGATACTTACGCAAAATAAAAAGTGACCAAAACGTTCCACCAAAATTGTACGTAACAATTGACAAGACAAACACATCAGTCTGAAATCGTCTCTGTAAAAGAGAATTTACCTGCCCAAGGTCCTAACATTTTCCTTAACAATAGAAAATGACGTCAACATAACATTTTCACCTTCTCAGATAGTCATACAAGTTTTCCAGATAGCTCCTATAGAAATCTAAATTTTAAAACAGGTGCAAATGAACTCGCATAGGAATAACATCCTGTCTAACACCACTGTACTTTTGTTTCCTATGCTTATTACAAAGGCATGGACAGGGCACAAGGCAGAGCACGTTCAACCAACTTCAAAATTTGTAGCTATTCAACTTTGAAAACAAAATATTAAAAAAAACGTCCAAGAAAGATAAATACACTTAAAAGTATAAACAGAAAAGTTAATTTCCTATGCAAACTAAAGAACAGTAGGAATTTGTATAGCTAGATTCAGTAAAGTATTCCCAGAATGGCACGAGGCAGAAGATATGGCAGAAATTTCTGTTAAGATAAAAGAATGAACACATTTTTTTAGAAATCTAGAAAGTGGAGATCCTTCGTAGGCAAGGATCAACAGTATAAAAATTAGGAAGAAATTCATCGAAAGCATTAACCACAACAAAATTACTTGAAATTGCAGTCTGTTTGATTGAATCTGCACAAAAGGGATAATGTAAAAGTTCAAAATCGCTCACACCCCTAGCACAGGCTTGAGCGGTTCTCAGTTTTCAACATTTAAAAGTGTTGGAATCAATAATTCCATCAATGATCCCAGTAAGCAAAAGCAATTCGTTCTATTTCAATTGAAGGGTAAATATTTGGCAAAAAGTGATCCTCGGAAGCATTAAAACAGCAAAATTATATGAAAATTGCAGACGTATACAGAATGTATGCACACTCGTTGATTTACGACCTTATTGTTACTTTCCTTGGATATTACTGTTGCAGATCTGTGGCCTCACTGGTCTCTGAAAACTTTACAGGTGAACTTGTCGAACGTTTGCAAAATGGTCGTGGTGAACAATTAAGGAGTTCATTATACAGGAGTTGTCCTTGATATTAAGAATTGTGATTTATTTATAACAATAATTTGTGGCGAAAATACTGGATAAATCTTAGTATGTAAATGATTGGCAACAAATGTTTTACAATATCATGTTGAAAATTAGGTTCATGGTAATGAATTCATTAATGCCTTGTACGTCTCTAAGTACAAAATATAAAAAAAAATTCAAGAAGGAAGGGAGGCATTCAATGAAAGCATCCCCAAAACCAGGACCGCCGGTAATGAGTCAAACAGAACACCAAACAGGACAAGGTACAAAATGGAAGGAATGTCATTATAAAACAGGACAAGACTATATGATGTAAGTTTTTTTTACAAGCTCTGTTATGTTATGTGTAAAGTAAGAAGTAAGATGTAATTTCACTAAAAACAAATAAATTATTGCCTTCCATGAATCTAGTCAAATCGTTCATTAAAGTAATTATAGATAGACGTTAAAACATTTAAAGTATGAAATAAGTTGCAATGATAGTTGGTCTATCCATTGAGGTTACACCGAAATAGAATAAAACGGAATCCATGAAGAACGCCCCAAAAGGGCAAAATTAAAAATGTTGCAGGCTTGGTTTGATTTAGTCTGTTCGCATCCGCGCAGTCTGATCAGGATTCATGCTGTTCGATTACCGACTCTATTACAAGTATAGAAACTGATAGCGAACAGCATGGATCCTGATCAGACTGCGCGGATGCGCAGGCTGGTCTGGATCCATGCTGGTTGCAAACCCATTAATATGTTGGTTTTGTCGTGACACGGCTCATTAATTTATATATCCTGACTCTTGATATAAAATATATCTCAGAAATGAATTTCATGATTGTGCAATAAGCATAAAATATGTACTTATGACGCATGATCCGTCAAATAACGTTGTACCAGGTCTACATTCACACAATCCTGTATTTGTATTACAGATAGCGTTCCTGTCAAGTGGACACTGATTATTTGAATCACAAGGCTGATGAGGACCTCCACCTGGAAAAAAGATATACAAAAATAAAACCGTAACTATTCATTAGTGCCTTACAATAATAATAATAAGGCCGTTATTCCATTTATACGTGATCAGTGGTCCGCGTCAGTGATCCGTGTCCGGGCATGTCCGTGGGTATTATTCCATAGGTACGTTATTTCCTATATACTTTTAATTGAAGTATAGCGAACAGAGGATAATTATTTGTAGAATATGATATAATTTCATTCTAATACCAAAAACAGTTGTAACATCAAAGAATTAGGTAACAAACATTGAATATCAGTTAGGTTTTCAGATAACATCTCTTTAGCAACCGATGACCAGATGTTGTTTTTTTTAATCTGTCATTGCTGCATCATAAACTTATATGGGGTTGCGTTCATTGAACGCCACCTTTCCTTGTTGATCTTGTTTATCATATTTTATATGTTCTCCTACAATATTTTGGTGACTTCTTTAGTATTTTCTTTCGAAATCAATAAAGTATTTAATTTCGTTCGAGGCATTTTGTAGGGATGAGACATGTCAGTGACTGTCCGCGTCCGTAAAAAATCGCTCATCCTGCGAAACGTCGCGGATGCCGTCGCGGAAGCGGATGGTAAACGGACAAAAGGAATAGATTCAACGTATTCTTTGATTAGCGAATCGGTAACGGATGCGGATGACGGACGCGGACCACTGATCACGTATAAATGGAATAGCGGCCTATTGATAATAATAATATTTTACTTCGTTCCGAAAAAAACTAACAGTACATATTTAACATAATCTTCGAAGTTTGAAAATTGTTTTATAACAATAATCATATACATATATAAAAATTCACTTAAGTATTTATACAACCTCCAATATTACATACAGGATATTTTTGATATACAACATAATCTGATATACAACAGTAGATGCGTTCTTGTTTGGGAAATTGCAGATTAGTCTTTGCCATCAGTATAGATCTAGGTCAGCATGCACCTCCGTGTAATCTAATGTAGGTGACTAACTCTAGATATCCCCATAATTGATTATGGACAATTCCAAATAATGGAAGTTGCACAAGTCTATTTAAGGTAGTACACCCCCAATGGGCATTAAGAGGACCTGTAAAATTAACAGCATAGGACAGTAATATGCCTTAATTGGCAGCTGTATGCAGAATTTAAACAAACTTTACCGGATGGTTTATGAGTTATAGATATTATTTTGACCTAAAACTTTGCTATAAGAGGGTTGTTTTCTTTTTCAGAAATGATGAAATTCTAAATAATCTATAATATCATTATTATGAAAAATGTTTTCCCATTGACCAATGTTAAGAAACAAAAAATAGCATTCAGGTAACAAATCACAGGAACAAACTGATTGTTTCTACACAAAATGCGTTTAATATTTATAAAATTGTTACAGTACCCCACCCACTTTAAACACTTATTTGACCATTTCCCTATTTAAAAAAGCCAGATTAAAAAGCGTAAACTTTACCACAATGAGAGGCTGTTTTCAAAGTTTGTCTAAATTTTCTTGAAAGTATATGGCTTGATCATGCAAAATATAAAATACTTTTACCGTGTAGTTTTTATTTTATTAGACTTTGAAAATATCTAGTACCATATTTGCTATTAAATTTGGCAGGTTTGAAAGTTAAGTGTGGATACAAAAGCAGATATTTGGATTCGAAAATTGTTTTCTAACATTTTGTTATAATATTTCATTTTTGTTGCATAATAATTTATTTCATATATCTGGTGTTTTCAATCGGGATGTTACAAAAAAGAAGAACGTGATAGTATCACGGGTCATCATAGATTACGTATATCTCACGTTATTATTCTCCAATACTAGTATTTCCCAAACCAGTGATATATTTTTTTCATATAATTTTGGAAAAATAGATGTAAATATATAATCAATTATCATATTACCAGGTACGCAATTTCCGTTGAAAAGTATTGTTCCAGGAATACACACGCAGACGTTGTTCGTACATACAGCGTTCATATCAGATTGACATCTTTCACCATTAGGTTGATTACATCCTAAAATCGGGGGCGTATCAACTATCGGTGGTCCAGAAGTGGTCCCTCCTCCCGAAGGCGTGGTAGTGGGTGGAGCTGGTGTTGTGGTAGTTGGGGCGGGGGTTGTTGGAACCAGAGGCAGTATAGCTTTTTTAATTGAGCGAAAAAGGGCAAAACAGGTTACGCCATGTTCAAACATAAACAAGTACGATAATAAATCAATGACTAATGTAACAAAATAATTCTGACCCTGATGAGTATGAATTTTAATGAGACGAAAATACATTGAAGTAACTACCTAAGCCTTACAGGCATAATTAAGACAAAATATTTTCATAATTATTTCCGTTCCTAAACATTTATCCATATATTTCATGTATATATCAAACAATATTTTTTTTGGAAGTTTCTCTCATCTTTACAGTTTTATCATATTCATATTAAATGTGTTTTAAAGCCTAACGCCTCCAGATTCGGCAAATAAAAATGAACAAAATTTCTTTACTACATATTAGCATTACATATTTACCCCGTTACTAATTGAAAAGGGTCTTCAGCTTAATAATTTTGCACGGACAATAGCTTTATTCAGGTTATATGGCCTTATATAAACGGTTGTTTATAAATAAAGCCATCTGTCAGGAATATTTGTATACTGCAAACTTCCTTTAAACAGCAGCTGTGTATATAAAACTTTATAAACGTCACGATTATCCAATGAAAAGCGGCGTTTCAAACGTGCAGTATTATGAAGTTTTATATATTTTAAATTTTAGAAAAAAATATTCCAATTGTTAAAAATGACTCAAAATGAAAAAGCGTTGCAACGTTTTTCACTCAAATCTGGATTAAATTGTCACAAAAAAAAAACGATTTTCAATTAATTTCTCAGATTTTTTTCATTTATCAAGTGCCTCGGCTGGACTATGTAAGAAATTTGAAATTTATGATAGAGGTTTTGACCTCAGTGGAGTTCCTTTAAGATAGTAGAGTAGCTTTCTAGAAATCATTTGGTTCGAGCCCTGTACGTTGAAAAAAGCAGGTATCCGAAGTCAGTCGACTAAGAAAGTGAGTCATTGTGAGCTACATACCTCGACAATCGGGCACGCATACGTTGTTGCCATTACAAAGAAGTGGGGGTGGACACGTTCCCAGATTACACGCTGAAATTTTGAAAAAAAGATAAGTAGGTGTAATTAAAACCGAAAACCAACTTACTCTAAAATGTTTAAATTATGCAAGTTAGAATGTTTTTAATAGAAAACATGTTAAAAAGAAATCGCACATTATGATGAATTTGTGGTCCACCTTTTAAAAAAAGTTGACAGAATATGCTGAGCAGTCGAAGACAAGTTCGATACGCGGACTGAAATTTTTGTTTGATATTATTTATATTTCACTTTATATATTTTACAGTTTCACATTATGAATAAATCTTTATCGATATTTCGATTTGATGAGGATATACTGATGATGATGTAGTGAGGATGTTCATGGCGATAATTATGATGATAATAAACTTATGATGATGATGATGATGATGATGATGATGATGATAAAAGTGAAACTCAGGATGATGTTGATGATGATGTACTGATAATGATAATAATGTTAATGATTCACTGGTGAGAATGATAATAAAGATGATGCAATGTTCTTGGTAATGATGATGATAATCTTGATGATGATTATGTTCTTATGGTGACTATTGTGTTAATGACAATGATGAAGAATTGATAAATATGATTTTGATAATGATATAATGATGAATATGATGATGAACTGATGATGGTGATGGTGATGATGATGATAATTATTATTATTATGTACTGCTGATAATGATAATGTTTACTGATGAAAATAATGATGACGATTTACTGATAATGATGATGATGACAGCGATGATGCTGTTCTGATGAATGATTAAGATTATGATGGTGATAATGATGGTTTAGATGATAATTTATTGTTATTGCTTATGATGTTAATGATGTTGAGGAAAGCGAAAAATGAGAGAGTATATTTACTTTCAGAATTCCCCGGGTAAATGCAGTGCGTATATGTTTAAAAAGTTAAATGCAAATAACCTTTTGATGTACAAAAAAGGTCATCAATGCTGAAAATTACACTCTAACACTCGCTAATTTGTCTCCCTTCGACACTCAATTTCTCTCTAACCTGTCTCCCTCCCTCCCTCTCTCCCTCATTCACTGGCTTGCTCGAATGAATGAATGAATGATTGATTGAATGAATGAATGAATGAATGAATGAATGAATGAATGAATGAATGAATGAATTGATGGATAGATGGATGTATAGATGGACGGACAAACAAACGAACGAACGGACGGACGGATGGATGGATGAATGAATGAATTAATAAGTTCACACTTACGTGTTGGAGGACACGGAGGAGAACACTCGCCATTTACACACATATTAGTTAATGGGCAATCAGAATTCGATGTACAAGACGCTGTAAACATAATTGTGCAAATTTAAAGTATATTTTCCGGTACACACACATATAAATATACGTCGCAAAATTATGTCAGATAAATTTTAAAAATATCTGCAAAATCTATATTATAAATGTACATCTTATTTTGGATTTAAATATGCAGATAAACTTTATTTAATTATTCATTTATTTATCTATCTATTTATTTATTCACTTATGCTTTTTTGCGATGCGTGGTAAAAGACATTTTAATTTACATGTACTGTTATTAAAACGTATAAAATTATTGATAAAGATAATCAATCATTTTTATTGTGTACTAATAATGTGTAATGATTTGTACTGTTATTGAAACATATAAAAATATTGATAAAAATAATTATTTGTGTATATCACTTACGTAAACATATTGGGTTCGACTCAAATCCTGGTAAACACAAACATCTTGTACCTTCATCCATTGGTGGAACTGCACATTGTGAATTTTGTCCTCCGTTACCCATCTGGCACATGACTGTGTTATCACATTCCCCGCCAAGATCTATTGCAGTCTGCCGACGAACTCGGCTAAGCAATTTCTCAACACCAGCATGTTCTTTCTGATCTGAAAAAAAGTAATTTTTACGTGATGACGCTTTTATTCCAGTTCTTATCGTCGTTTGCACCAACTTATTATATTTTAATATAAAACTTAATAATATGCATTTAGATTTTAATGAAACCGCTGTCGAGTCATTTCAAGGTGAGACCAGATTTTAATCTTGAACTTAACATCAAAATTTGAATTGATTGCAAAATTCATAATATAACGTTTTTCAGTGTCATCCTTATCTGGGACAAAAAATAAATTCCAGTCATTATGTACTTTTTGCCCTTGTGAATAAAGATCTGAATGTATAAAATAAAATAGGAATATTGTTTGAGATAAGCAGACGATGAAAAAAAGAGTATGATGATATAAAATGGTTCTAGTGCAGACCATAATTGAAACTCTATGATTTTACGGTTGACAGATCTAGGACTGGACTTGCTGATATGAAATATTTATAATATAGCGACGAGACTGTTATGTGGAAATATCATGACCTGGTCTGGGGCGACATCGAGGGTCTTTCCCTACAGAAAATAATCGAGACCATAAGGGCTAGTGTAAAACCCCAGATGCAGGTTATTTGGCCTAATATAAAGGTTATTTGCAATATAACCCTCACCTAAGGGCTTTCGTTACATATACAAACAACTATTTATATAATAACTATAGTGGGCAAATAACCTGTCAAAATACCAGTAAAATAGTTTGTCGTTTAAAGTCATTCAACATACCACCTGAACGAACACAATACTGTTTTTTATGCCCCCACAATGTGGGAGCATATAGCGTTGCACTTGTCCGTCCGTCCGTCTGTCAGTCCGTCAGTCCGTCCGTCAGTCCGTCCGTACGTCCCGAAATCTTGTGAACGCAACTCCTCTTAAACCGGATGGCAGATTTTGCTTAAACTTACAGGGATGAACAACCTTAATGTGTAGATGGTAGTAAAGGAAGGAATTTTTGCTGCAACCAAATTTAACAGAATTATGGCCCTTTGTTGTTTTTTTCACTAGATACTATGTAGAAATTTTGTGAACGCAACTCCTCTTAAACCGCATGGCAGATTTTGCTTAAACTTACAGGGATGAACAACCTTAATGTGTAGATGGTAGTAAAGGAAGGAATTTTTGCTGCGACCAAATTTAACAGAATTATGGCCCTTTGTTGATTTTTTCACTATATACTATGTAGAAATTTTGTGAACGCAACTCCTATTAAACCGCATGGCAGATTTTGCTTAAACTTACAGGGATGAACAACCTTAATGTGTAGATGGTAGTAAAGGAAGGAATTTTTGCTGCGACCAAATTTTACAGAATTATGGCCCTTTGTTGATTTTTTCAGTAGATACTATGTAGAAATTTTGTGAACGCAACTCCTCTTAAACCGCATGGCAGATTTTGCTTAAACTTACAGGGATGAATAACCTTAAGGTGAAGATGGTAGTAAAGGAAGGAATTTTTGCTGCGACCAAATTTTACAGAATTATGGCCCTTTGTTGATTTTTAGTTTTCAACTTGTGGCACATGAAGTCCAAAAAATATTTGACCTAGAGTCATAAGATTGACAGAACAGTGGCGTGTGGGGGCATCCGTGTCCTATGGACACATTTCTAGTTTAAGTATGCGCCTGGCCTTAAACATCCTAAATACCACGATGTACCAGAGTACCACGTACCGTTCTTTTGTGTTTTTTTTTTTTTGCACAATAATTGCTTCTTTCTTTATAAAGCATCAGCAAAATATTAAGAGGATATTTTTTCGTTTGCGTAAAATATGGAATATATTTTCACGAAACATGATAAAATGCTACATATTTTCACGAGCAATATGTGGCATTTTATCATGTTGAGTGAAAATATATACCATATTTTACAAAAAACGAAAAAATAACCTTTTTATTTAATTTCATTATCAAAGAAAATGGTAACGAATCCCCTTGCTTGCTACCAACTGCAATTGTACAGCGCGCAGTAATTTATGCGTAAGCACGCGCTGTTTGGCGCTACATGTGACGTCATGTAAACAACGCTTTAAACGTCTGTACAGCGTTAATTACTGAATTAAAGATATTGGTGTTCGGATTAATTTTCTTAGTTAGGCCATTTTCTATCATGCTAGATAGTTTTCAAAACAATATTCAAGAAAAAGTTGTTTTGTATTTATCAGATTTTTCAACAAAACGGCGAAAGAAGTCCCTTAAAATAAATATGAGTTTTGACTCCGCCCACTTTCATATTTTTTATCTCATATTTATTTTTAAATATATTTGACTGATATAGCACCATATTTCATGGGTAAAATTAAATAAATGCCTCATATACTAGAAAAAAACATCACTCGCCAATGTCACAGAAATATCATTTTAACTATCCAGAGCATGATATGCAAACTTATTTTCAGCCTCAACGTATTTTATTTCTCTATTTTGGGTCCCCCTCCTTTTACGATGAAAATGGCCGGTCGTGACAAATCGCAGGAAAAACGTAGTTGAGTCTTCTTTAGCGCATTATGATCGCGGTAAGGTCTTCATGATCGGAAAGCTCTACGCCCTCGCCACACTTATTTTGAAAATGCTCAAAACAAGCGTAGCGGTATCCTGGCCAACAAGAATCGGGGCAAAGTCGTAAAAAGAGCGTAGTAGAAGAGCCGATATCGTACAAGCAGCGCGAAAGCATCATGGAGAGATCTTTTATGATCTTAGTAAAAGCGCAGCAAAGCTTAGACAGTTGGGAACATATCGAGAACGCTCTTACAACGCTCCCACTTCGATCTCTCCTTACGATCCTACAAAGATCTATTATGACACTACGCCGATCATACCACGACCTATCAGGCAGCAGTTTGTTTTTAAAGCGCTGATATTTGACCAATCATCATCTGTCAACTACATATAAAGGCGGCACTATAGAAGGAACACACCTAGGAATTTGTGTCTTCCATTCGGCGTTCTCGCATCAGTGTGACGGTCCAAACTGGAGCCTCCTATCTGCAGATAGCCATGGCCGTACCCAGTATATGTTTGACCTTCTTCTGCACCTATGCCTGTTAACGATCTGTGCAGTTTCAATTTCAACTAACATTTGTTCTTGCTGATGGAACGCCAGGTGAATCAGATCAGCATTAATACGTCCGTTCATGTTTGAAGTTTCACCGTGTACATGTATATCAAGTAACGCTGGAATGTGCAAATATCACAAAAGAGTCGCCGAATCTATTTTCTGATCGAAGATCAGGAAATGCAAAGCTGACATACAATCTCTGGCACAAAAAATAGACAAAAACGAATGTCGAGCTGAATGTTGTGCTGAATGTCTAGCCAGCGTCACATCCCAGCTCGACATGCAAAAATACAAATAAAAACGAATCTCGAGTTGAATGTTGTGCTGAATGTCTAGCCAGCTTCACAACCCAGCTCAACATTCAGAAATAGACAAAAAAACAAATGTTGAGCTGAATGTTCTGCTGAATGTCTAAGCCAGCTTTATATCCCAGCTCGGCATTCAAAAATAGACAAACAAAGAATGTCGAGCTGAATGTTATGTTGAATGTCTAGGCAGGTTCACATCTCAGCTCGACATTCAAAAATAGACAAGAAAACGAATGTCGAGCTGAATGTCGTGCTGAATGTCTAGCCAGCTTCACATCCCAGCTCAACATTCAAAAAAAGATAAGAAACGAATGTCGGTCTGAATATTGTGCTGAATGACTAGCCAGCTTCACATCCCAGCTCAACAGTAAAAAATAGACAAAAACGAATGTCGAGCTGAATGTTGTGCTGAACGTCTAGCCAGTTTCACATCCCAGCTAGACATTCAAAAATAGATAAAAAACGAATGTCGAGCTGAATGTTGAGCTGAATGTCTAGCCAGTTTCACATCCCAGCTCGACATTCAAAAATATAGAAAAAAACGAATGTCGAGCTGAATGTTGAGGTGAATGTCTAGCCAGTTTCACATCCCAGCTCGACATTCAAAAATAGATAAAAAACGAATGTCGAGCTGAATGTTGTGCTGAATGTCTAGCCAGCTTCACATCCCAGTTCGGCATTCAAAAATAGATAGAAAACAAACGAATGTCGAGCTAAAAATTGTGCTGAATGTCTAGCCAGCTTCACATCTCAGCTCGACATTAAAAAAGAATATAAGAAACGAATTTCGAGCTGAATGTTATGCTCAATGTCTTGCCAGCTTCCCATACCAGCTCAACAGTGATAAATCGAATGTCGAGCTGAATGTTTAATGTCGATCTCTGTGCCAACTTCATGGACTTGTTAAAAAACAGGTTTATCGTGAAAAAAAATACCTCGAAAGAAATAAGGATTACAAACCCTCAGTCGAAATTTAAAATTTAAAATTATTTGATTTTATTCAGGCATTTCGTATAACGTCCCCGTGGTGCAGGGGTAACGCGCACATTTAGGTTGTGAGAGGTCGGAGGTTCAAATCCCAGTTGAGGCTACTATTTTTTTTTTTTTTACTTTTTTAGGGACCTTTTTATGGAAGTAGCCACGATATGCAAGGATAAAGTGTGGCTGTCAAAATAAAATGAACATAAATGATTTTTAATGCAACTCTAGTCATGCAAATACTGTATGTATCAAACTCAAACTTTTATAGTAAAAAATCTAAACGCAGTCGCGGCATCTCGGTGTCCTGCAAAATGAATTATAGTATATAAAAATAAACTTATACAAGAAAATACATACAGATAAACAATACGATTTAGATCAGAAAATACCACAGAGCTTGCAGCCCTTTGATTTTTACTTTTTGTGCAAGCGTAGGGGTATTTCTCCAACACAGTACTTTTATCCAGTAACATTTACTATATCGATTTGATATAAAAGTTAAAATCCAACTAAATAAATAAATCTGCCTATCATAAAGTTTTTGTTAAATGAAATGGTATACATGCACACATACCTTTTGCCATTGATTCTGCACATAATAATAGCATTGTTATTATTTTTATTTTGTGAAACATTTTGTTAAACTTGTTGTTTAACGCCGTTTTAAATCATGCGTGTACTTCCTATGTTATCACTTTACTGGGATTATATAAAAAGATTGAAATGTTGTTGATGTGAAATTATTTTTCCCCTGAGGAAGTACATGTAACACATAGAAAAAATAATTTGTTCAAGTCAAATTTATTTATTAACCGCAACCAATTCATATAAGAAATGTTTAAACTTGATTTGGCTAGGTTTTAAGAAGTCGTTTTATAAACTCCAGAATTATACGTTTCTGTTTATATTTATTAAAAGTTTACAATGCATGCAGTTTGATTTGATATAAAAATGAGGGAGCCGACATATGTATAGCCTATGTTACGTGGAAAAAATGCAAACATGAAAAAGAGTTATTCTGTTTAATATAAACCAAAATAAAATAAAAAAAACTTGAACGTATACATTTTTTATTTAGCTCCATTCGTTAATCTATAATTGCAGAATATTTTACATGGAATTCCCTTGCTTTAAGTTTTGGCACTGTCTTTACTTGCCTACATTTATTATGGAACCTGTGTAAGGGGAAGGAACTCCGTTGTGAATCAGATTAATTCCCGAACTTGACGGAGATTGCCGAGTTGTTAAGATTGTCATTATCACTGTCATACCATTCATAACCATTCAGGACATTTTCTAATTATCACGACAGTGTAAAACATGTTTTGGCATCTTCTGTAAATAATTATGAAACAAAATTAGCAAAGTTTTATTTAGTGATACCTATCGTAAATGGGAAACGAAATATAAAATGTACCTCATATTTTCAACAATTTTCCGGTAAAGGAAATGCCTTTAGGGGTATACATTATTAAGTAACCGCAACATTTCTTTGATACGTAGGCTTAATTTAGATATATACTAAATGCTGTAAATTTGTTTATAATTGAAAAAATCTTTTTCTGTCGACATGTTTGTTTATAGATTAAAAAATATTAATCAGCTGTCTAATAAAACCATATTAGACAACAACAATACAATTTTTTTAAATATATGCAATAAAAATACAATGTAGTAAAATAGAAACTAATAGTAAATAAAAATTATAGTATAGTAATACACTTATTAAATGTTTATTGAAAATAGGAGGAAACCAATATTTTTTATTATCATTATTATTGATGTTGAGTTTTCTTACAATTTTGTTCGTTTGAAATCTAATATCACTTGAGACATTACATCATTGGTAATGGAAGATCTCTGATGAAGGTACGTACATTATTTCAGGCACAAGAGGCATCAGGGTCCCTCGCGTCTTATTAACGATCTTACGATTTTGGAAATCTACGATTTTGATATAGGCTAATTGTCGTACGTTCGGTCATAAAACCGTCTTATTAATGCGATCGTACGTTCAACCTAAAATCGTAGGTTTTTCATAGACGTACGATTCTTACGCTTGCACACTAGCACGCACTCTCCTCCAAAAAGTCTCAGTTACTGTCTTTCGATTAAGTAGATATGCGACATTGGAAAATACACCGCCGAAATCGTACGATTGACGTACGACAATCATACGATTAGAACAGGCGAACGTCAGTTGATAAGACGGGCCCCTTAGTATTTCGTTTACGACCGACCATCAGTAACCTAGCATGCACGAGGTATATAAAAACCGACCATAACGTTTTACTTGCAAATGATTTAAATGACTTAGCCGGAATATGGTTTTATCAGACACATCTATTTCTCAAACTATACTTAAATCCAGAATCCTTTTACTCTATTGCTTTTATTTCATTCTTTTGTTATTCATGCACTCGCTTTGCAAGTTACGTGGACTTAACTCCGTAATAAAAAGGTCATGAAAATTTGAAGATAAGTCCCTTTCTAGAGAACAAGTCACATTTTCTCTTTTTCAAGTGATTGTATTTGAGGAAAGAAATCAATTCATGTTTGACTTCAAGGATTTATGAAAGTTTCTGAAGTTTCGTATCAATTGCAGTCTTGTTAACAAAGCTAATAAGAATACTTGTATCGCAATAATCTAATATAGGTGATTTTATAACAAAACTCAGTTCACAAGTTTGAAAATAGACTTCTTCAGCATCTTGTAAATCAAACAAGAAATACGTACAAGCCTTTGTCAATATGTCTGGTGCATTTAAGGAATTCGTGTCATAGTTTGACTTCTGCAATGAAAATGTGTTCCAGTTAAATTGTTTATCCAGAAATGCACAGAGCGTTAACGTTAGTGCAGCTATTAGTTGATTTTGCCGCACTGTCTGTCGTCTGTCGGCATGCTTGCCAATTGGCTACATTTTTCTGGGGTGAAAGGGAATGGGATGATGATAAAAAAGCCATATCCGTATGCCCGTGCATTTGTTACATTTTTTCAAGGGTAGATTTTTTCTATATTTTTGTCTATGATACAAAAGAGGAAGAACAACGAGACACAAGGCTATCTGATAGATACGAGGTGCCGTAGCTCTTTCTATTACATAGCGCTAATAGATTCATGTTTTATTTTAATTTTGAATGAGTAAAATTGTTGAAAAGTGTTAGAACTGAGTAAAGTGTTTTAACCATATCCATGGTTCGTGTTATTCACATTAATTACCAATAACAGTAAATTTTATCAAAAATCCCTAGACAAACCGCTTTAATAAAACCTTTTAATAGTAACTTGTGCACATTCATCAAATCATTATATTGATGGTTAACTTATACTAAACAAACAATTAATCCTTGCAAATTTAAACAAAAGAAAAGTAAAAATAACCTTATCACCAACATTTAGAAATGTTCATGTCAAACAATGCAAGCAAATGTAAAAACGTTACAGAGGACACAATGTTTGTATAAATTCAGTCAAAGATTCTTGGAAAATTACTAACCTTGTTTTTCTTTTACTACAAAAAAGTGTCGTATAAGTCCTGATTCCGCAAATTCTATAATTATTTTGCTAGACAGTGGTAATTTATTTAACATTAGGTTAATTTGAATGTCCTTTTGTTCTGATGTTCATTTTGATTGATGATATACAATTTTGTGTATACCTTCTCCATTTACACATGTTATTGTATGTATATGCTTTACACTGTCATGTATCATGTATCTGTTATCCTCATGGACTATTTGGTCCAATGGAATATTGAAATAAACTTATCAAACTTATCAAACTTATAACATTGCGCGGCATTGAGACGAAGAATGTGGATTTTTTCCCGAATAAAAACGATCTGAATATGCTTGATGGTACAGTATCTTATAGGATGCCAATCTGAGAATCATACAATGTATCAGCCTAACACACTGAAAATACAATAATTGTATTTGTACATATTTTATTCTTAGCAAATCCGTTGTATCTACATAACGTTTTTTGTACTTTTTATTAGTCATTTTGCATTTCTTTAGTGTGTAGCAGTTCTTTATTATCATAGCATTACTATGTAAAAAGAACAATTGTTTTTTTTTAATATTTGCTGACTGTATCTGTGTAGTGTGTTGTGCGATATCTGTTGTCAAACCAGGTCCTGACTTTAAAAAAAATAAATTTGCAAGAGTGACTAAAACCTTTGTCATGCGATCAAAAGTTTGTTATGTATTGCGACCAACAATAATAGCGACTACGCCACAAATGCAGTAAACATAAGAACATGGAACTACGAAAGACCGGTAGGGCCATTTCAACTTCATGTCATGAATTTCGATTTCATCTTCATGAATTCACAATTTAAATTTCTGAATTCCCATTTTCAACATACAGAATTCACGAACTCACGGTTTTAGCTTCATGAATTATCGGATTCAACTACACAAAATTCACGATTTCAACTTCACGAATTCAACTTCGTGAATTCAAGATTTCAACTTCACGAATTCACGATTTCAATTTCATGAATTCACGATTTTAGCGTCATGAATTCAACTTAATGAATTCACGATTTCAACTCCACGAATTCACGATTTCAATTTCATGAAGTTGAAATCGTGAATTCATCAAGTTGAATTCGTGAAGTTGAAATCACGAATTCATGAAGTTGAAATCGTGAATTCATGAAATTAAAATCGTGAATTCGTGGAGCTGAAATTGTAAATTCGTGAAGTTGAAGTCGGGCATTCATGAAGATGAAATCGGGAATTCATGAAGTTGAAAATATCCCATTTCATAAGGAACTGTGTTAACAGGAATTAATCAAGCCATTCGGCTCTTATTTCTGATATAGTCAATTTTATTGTTTACATGAACATGTCTTGTATTGAATTTCTATTTATAATTTTACGCAGAATTCATATCCCCGTAAATATCACGCAATCGTAGCCAGAGGTCAATATTGTATTACAAAAGTTTTTATTAGAATGGATCGTTGACACGAAAGTACAAATGGTCTTATCAGTATTTCTATTTAGGTACGCTTATTGCTCACTTTATAATATGAGCCGCGTCACGACAAAACCAACATAATGCGTTTGCGACCAGTATGGATCCAGACCAGCCTGCGCATCCGCGCAGTCTGATCAGGATCCATGCTGTTCGCTATCAGTTTCTCTACTTGTTATAGACTTTGTAAGCTAACAGCATGGATCCTGATCAGACTGCGCGGATGCGCAGGCTGGTCTGGATCCATGCTGGTCGCAAACCCATTATGTTGGTTTTGTCATGACGCGGCTCATATTGCGTGTTTACCGTCGGTTTAAACGATACTTTTCCTTAAAAGGTTGCAAACCTCATGTGATACAAGAATTTCCCAGGTCAACAAAAGTCATAATCATTTAGACTTCACTGTTTTCTATGGAAGACAGATGGTGACATTTCAACTTTCTGTACTCTCGGGTTCATCTTCACGAATTCACTTTTTTCAACTTTATGAATTTCAACTGAAATATACGAGATCTAGTGAATTCGTGATTTCCGTATGTTGAAATCGTGAAGTTCAAACTTTAATTCGCGAGATGAATTCGTCGTGAAGATGAAATCGTGAATTCTTGAAGTTGAAATCGTGAATTTAAGAATTCCTTAATGTTGAAATCGTGAATTCACGAAGATGAAATCGGAAATGTATGAGGTTAAAAATGTCCGCCATCAGTCTCTCGAAGTTTTCA